GGCACTCCTGACAGCAAGTAGCCCTGAGCTGCTTGCCAGGGCCGCTTTTTGTATTGCTGGGGACAGCACAGGTGCTAACCCCAGGCTCTAGCTCCCCCTGGCTATAGATCTGGCATGGTTATTTTGCCCCGAGTGGCACAATTTGCTCCACAACAAAGGGCATGTCCGAGCACGTGCGCCGAGGCAAAAAGTCCCGGCTCAAATTTGCACCACTTTATTTGAGCTGCTGCAAATGCACATGCTTGCATGTGTGGATGCGCCACGTGCGTTACTTCCCTTGCATGCCTTTGGGAATAGAGCTGCACCAGAGAGAAGGCTCAAACAGGACCCACTGATGGTATTTCCCCCTGAGAAAGGGCATGGCAGTAACTAATAAAATATCTGAGTTTTGCCCCACAAGAATACTGAAATTGCTTGGAGAATTGTTACAAAACATCCATTTCATGCTCCCCATTGAAAAAAAATTGGAAAGACTTTATTTTCACGTAACTGTCTATATATTTTACCCAGGCCTTATTTGTAATTCTATGAATCTGTACAAAGCGTCATCTCTGAAATCTTTCAGGAAGTTTAGATAAGCAGGGTAGCAAAAAATGCTCAGCCCACTATTGTGAAACACAAATAACCTGCTCTTAGCCAGGAACGACAGTAAAATCTGAGGTTAGATAAGGGGGGTTATAGTAGATGATATTTAGCAACTTTTTGTTTTCAGGCATTTCACTGCCTTTGTTCTTACAAACCTCCACAGGCTAAGACATCCACAGCTCCTCTTTTTACGGTCGACATGTTTTCTGGGCAAGACAGACAGTTCTTAGATCCAACTACTGGCTGATATGTGCCAAAAGGACACGATTCACAGGTCTCAAGACCATTAGGAGAGTAGGTTCCCTGCTTGCACTGAGCTAAAAGGCCAAAAAAATACACAAATATTAAGTAATATCTAACACAGAATACATGTCCTAGCAAGTAATGCTTTATTAGTTCATTGAGCGACGACACTTGAAACAAGGTATTCTGAGCACACTTTTAAATCCAGAGGATAGCAATTAGTGCAATGTTTTGCAAAGTCAATAAGGCACAGAACATTAGCTCCCTCTGCACACACATTCATTTTATTCTGGAAATTTATTTCATTATGTGGGGGTAAAAAAAAAAATGCAATTCTGCAATTGCTCATGAACAGTAAATTACTGAGAGCATGTTTACAAGCTGTAAACTAGCTTACTACATTCCACTCTGCTGCATGGATTCCTTGTCGTTAGCATTTCAAGTTTCAACCACTGAAGCCAATAAAATTCACATGGGGGGAAAAACAGTTCTTAATTCACAAGCTGCAAAGTGAAAACTCTGTTCTACCTTGGAGAGCTTAATTCATGGAAGGTGGGACACAGCAGTGACAATGTCCAGGGGTATTTGTCCATGAGAAAGGTGGAGGATAGTGGTAGAAGGAAGTGTTGAGATGTGATACATAACGTACACTTCTAATGCAACGTGTGCTCTCTCAGCACCAGACAATGAACATCAGTTAGGGAAAAAAGGCCCCTCATTCTCAACCTCTTTCACTATACCAAGCACTTCTTGCCTTAATGGCCAGTTCCTCTTACCCTCAACAAGCACACATATTGACACACTGGATACCTTCTGCATGCATGCCCAAGCGCAATGGAAAATGCTTATGTATTCTCAGGTATTATCTATTCCTCAGTGTACCCAAGGACAGCCAGGATCTGACCAAGAGCCTTAAAATAACCTGATAATACATTTATATTTTGGGGGCAGTATTCTAATTTCATTTAAACAAACAGTATTTCCAAACTTTAGAAAGTAAAATGTGTCCATTACTAATTCAAAAGTGACTGTTGTGTGGATGCTGAGTTCCCACCTTTACATTCAGAGATACTCCTGGAATGAAGGTATTCAGTGTAGCTACCAGATGGACAACTTTTGCATTCCAACTGCCCTTCCTCATCCTGATATGACCCAGTCCAGCAGCTTTCACAGGTATGATGCTCCAGCGAGTAATAGGTGCCCAGAGGACAGTTAACTGAGATTACAAAGGAGAAAAAATAAGGTGTAGGCTAATCATGGAATACCTGATACCACAGAATACCCTTCACTGCAAACGTTTATAGCCAAACACAATGCACTGGAATCCAAGCTCTTGGCTTGGTGACTTTTGTACAGTCTCATTAGGAATGTCTAAATTGTGCTGACAGGGTACTCAGCTCTGCTGAAACAATAAACACCACCCACTGTTTTTACCCCACGGACATCAACGTCAGGAAGGAGGAGTGAGGATATCCTGGGGATGTCCTTAGCAGTGGAGTCATAATGTGGGTACCTGGCTGTAGCAGGACACTAAGATGCCTGCTACTCTCAGAGCAGAGGCAGAGGTGCGGGTTGCTAGGGCAACCGCTGGGGAGTCAGCTGACAGGGAAGGGGCAGGGCCTGGCACATATAAACCCCAGGACTGAGGCCAGGAGGGCAGTTCTCTGCTAGCAGCCAAGGAAGGAGGAGCTCTGCCGGAGCAAGCCGAGTGGAGAAGCCTGATGGCACGAGCAGCTCCTGTTTTCTGTTACGGGGTGGAGAATTCCCTGGTAGGGATTGAATGATGTTTAGCCGGACAGCTTAGATTTTATATTATAGCCCAGGGGCTTGAGTTTTCTGTTTGTAGTTTTAAATGTCTGGTGGTTTGGGTGAGGCTATTAGGGGTTGGAAGAGGCCTCATAGGGGATCCCCGGTGGCGTGGGGACCCCGGCGCCAGAGAGGACACAGTATTTTGGGGTGCACTGACCCCAGCCCAGAGCGAGGAGGGCAGCGAAGCGTCAGGAAGGTGCAGAACAGGACAGAGTGAGACAGGGCTGTGGAAAGCCCAGGTAAGACAAGGGGAGGGCCAAATTACAACAAGGTCCAGATCGAACCACGTCAGTATCATCTGCGAGGCTTAGGCTGCAGTGTAGGGGAGGAAAAGGAGCTGCAGACAGTGCCCCCTGGCGCTGGGGCAAATAAATGGGCAGCCTCCCGCTAATTAACATCCATTAATTAATCAAGATCAAGGCATGGCCGGTGAGAAGGCAGGCGGTTGGCCCATAACAGGAGGGCGGAGTCACCAACAGACAGACTCTAGTAGAGGTACTCCTGTCACACTGGCATACTCCAGAGTCATGGTTCTGGGTGCACCCAGACATCATTTCCAGAGGTGATGCACATAGTAATAAAGATTGTGATTTCATGATGCCTGTGAAACGGCCCTACCCTACATAACATACCTCCCTAAAACATTAAAATCATAAATACAGGAGATGAGCACAAGGAGGCAAAAAGCATTTGGCTTACCACACATTCGACCTCTCAGCACTGAACCTGGTCTGCAGAAGAGAAAGGCTTTCTCCGTTTCCAGAGAGTTGCTGTCAGCAACAACCAGTTCAGATGCAAACTGAAAAGAATACATGGGTTCCTTACTGAGAGTCCTTTTCAGCCTGTTTGTGATAGTCTCTAGAGTTTTAAGAAGTCGTTGCTGGTTTTCCCATTCCAGGGTATCGTTCCTTTCATCAGGCAATGGCACACTAGCTGGGGTTTAAAAAGAACACACATGCACACAAATTGTGTTACAGATTTTACTGTTGTATGTTCCAGCATACTTTGTAAGTGTGGAACCCAAAAAATGTAATGCTGTGTAACACAGGTACTTTGCTGGTTGAAGGTTTGTGAAGGAACTGGTGCAATACACAGCAAGAGTAAACCTCTGAGGAGCTCCAGTTTTTTACTACAGCTATAATTTCAAAGGGTGCCCCTTCTCACTCAGCTATGCAGGACTGCTGATGAGCTCTAGTTGACTGGAGAAGCAGCACTTTTTAATATAAAAGCTTCAGCAAAGAGCTGAGTAGTTCATACTTTATTTCACAGCCCACTGAGACCTTAAGAGGCTGTGAACCACCAGGGGGTTCTACTAATCTGGATTGTCCTATACTCAGGAGGTCTGAAGTCCATAGGCAGAGCCTAGGCAAACCCATTGTACCAAAATAGAGGGTAAAATATAAAGTTCTGCCCAAGGCAACCATGCTGTCAGGTGCTACAAAGAAGTAAGCTAGTGAGGCAATATGGTAGCAAGATTAATTAGAAACCTGTGGTCTGCATTTCCTACAGGTTTCATGAACTGAAGACAGTGCTTCATTTTGTTATTGGTAGATTCTTAAACAGAAGAGGAAGGGGATGTTTTTTCCTCACCAGTAATGTTAAATATTAACTTAATTTTATGGTCTGTCATTGGAATGTTGAGTTTTTTGTGTCTTTTGACCCGGGAAGGTCTCGATTTCACAGTATCAGAGCGTTGGTTGTGTAGTGGTTCTTCCTGTGTTACATCACGGAAGTCATCATAGGCATAATCCAGATGGTTTGCTGTGCCCCAGCCACCAGGTCCTGCCAGCCATTAAGAACAAGGAAAAGAAAAACATAGCATGAAAACAAGTGTCTATTTCTTCATATCAACATAACAAAAACTTCTTAATGCAAGAAGGATGATCAAAAGCCAGGCACCCCATATAGACCTTGTCTTCACTTACGTAGTTTTGCCAGCAAAGTTGAGGCAACCGGCCCCCCTAATATAGGTGCAGTTGTATTGAGGTAAGAGTATTTATACAGATATTTCCTCTTTTGGTTATAAAACATATCATTTTACATGGTATATTGTTTTATATGGGTCTATTCTGAGGGTTTTACTGGCACAATAATACCAGTAAAGGGAAAAGTCTTGTCCTTAACTAAGCCAGTTATCCTGGTCAAACTTTTAATTGGAGACCAAACCTTCACACACACGCATGCACACGCACGCATGCACACACACACACGCACATGCGCAAGTGCAGGCGTGCACACACACATTCTCTATCCTTATCTTATTACGTTGCATCTAATGCCATTTGGCAGAGTTATTTCATCAAAGCCCTACTGTATGCTGACAGTCCCACTTCCAGCTCCCTGGAATTCTACCCATACCTACTCTAACAACAGGTTTTTCAGCTCAAGCATTCTCAAGTGAGAAGGACCCTCCAGAAACCAACAGCTCCTTCCTTTCATAGGAGTCCAGTTCTAGTTACACCTCTGATTTCAAGGGCAGAAATATGCAATGGAGAGGGGCAATGTCCAACGTAGGACAGTTCTAGCCCATTTAGGGCTTTTTAGGTCAAGACCAACACCTTGTATTGCTATATAAATATGCGTCAATTGTAATAATGGATATCCATCAGACCTACCAGCACATTACACATAGAAGAATGAACTTGGCCTCAGTCATACAACCACCTTCCAAGTAAAGGCACCATATTTAATTACCGTAAGTAACCAGCCCAAATTCTATATAATGGGCCTAATTCACGCCTAAGATAATACTTCTGAAAATATTAACTACACTGTGTATTCACTTGGCCCAAGCTGTTTAAATAAACATCTATGTATATAACTTATCTTTTTATAATTATTGAAACTGAAGAATTTTTGCCGATTCTGTTAATCTCTTTTTAGAAATATGTGGAGGTATCAATAATTCCTGAGTATAATTGTGTGTCAGTTATTTAGATTACATTTGATTAATGACAAAAATAAGGCAAAGGAACCCCAATAATACTCTGTAACTATTTCAGAACCAATCTTTTAAATGGCTGATTCTTAAAAATCTGGGCCTAACTGTGATCTTAGCTATACTGGAGTGTTTTTGGAGAAATTCCAGTGCTAGCAGGTAGAGCTATTTTACATTTAGGCTGGCATAAATAAGAATGTTTCCTCATCACTGCTTCATCCAAACTAATAATAAATTAATTCCAGCTTCACCTGATGTTAATATCAAACTGAAAATTATTGCATTTGATTGTAAACCAATGGAAAGGTTCTCATTCAATGGGAGTTAGATCAGGCCCTAAAAGAGCTGGAATATGAGTGAAGTCTTTTATTTCACAGACAAGCCACAATGCAGAGGACAGCAGTGTAACTACCTCGCTAAATATCCAGACAATGCATCCCAAACCTGAACTGCGGGACCTCTGTTAACTAAGTGTGATAATAGTTCAATTTCCATCCTTCCTTGGTCTTCAGGCTCTTTGGCTTGAGAACTCAGGGACTCTGTCAGTGATAGGTGTGATTGCTTAGTAATGGATATACTTCTCTATTAGTAATTGGACTGAGAATGGCCAAGCATTTTACATATGCAGTGAAGTGGCCATTCAGACATCAACAGCTTTCAGTGACAGCAAAGGGAGGCCCTGATCCTGCAAAGATTTAAGTACATGCTTATCCTTCCCGGCTGTGACCAGTCTCATGGCAAATGTGTAAACTCCTATGCTAATGTCTACAAGACTGGGACTAGACCTTGGATTTCAACGAATGACAAACATGAAAGGCTACCTGTTCCATTAACAAGCCCCAGACTAGGCATCTAGTCTCCCTGTTCAATGATTTGAGTTTAAATTGTATGCTTAAAAAAATCCCACCAACTTTACTTGTAACACTACCCAAACAGTTTTTTAATTTTCTTATTTTTTTACATGCTTTGAGCCACTTATTCTCCCTCCCACCTCCCACTAACATGCACAATACAGGAAACAGATAATAAAAAGCTAATGTACTAATTTATCAAACTATTGTTTAATTGTTTATCGTCTTAACCCTGTAATTATTTTCTTAAAGTATTCCATAGAACACATCTAACTCTACCATAGTTGTATGTTCTTATATTAAACCACGTTTAAACTCTTTAAGGTTGGCAAGCTACGGAATTATTACATTACCAATTGCAAATCCATTTTCGTAATCATAATTATATTCTAAGCAATGTTTTTGTAGCAAATCCTCCAACCTGCAGTCAATGTCATCGACATCATTACAGAATGATGGGACCTGCAAACAGAAATTAGAAAAACCATTAAAGAAACCAAACATATTTATAATCTAGGTGCAGTACAGACCATCTGGTACTCTCTATTTGACACCAGATTTCTTACTTTATATTTATTATAATTCTATATTTTAAAATGGGCATTTGGAATTTGTCCCCCACCTCCCTACACACATGTACATATATGCATCTGCAGGAACTTGGGCAGCATCAGTGATCTTGCAGTTGAAAATAAAATAGGGAGAATCAGTTTAACAGAAGAAAATCTTGACACCCCATGTCCAGCTGATATAATTCTACAGCACAGAAGCTGTGGTGGGTAGATGGATGAGAAGATGGAACACATGTGATATGATACATCTGTACTATGTGCATGTACTCCCTTCCTGCTTGGAGTAGGACTCACTGAGGGTTCAATATGGAGAGAGTAGGAAGTTAAATTCACAAAAGAGTGAAGCCGCCTTGCAGTGTTTCCATGTTTCAACCACCCTGGCCGTTGCCTGTGTACTGTGTTACAAGATATAAGTATCTATGGCATGGGTGGGCAAAATATGGGCCACAGGCCAGATCTGGCCCAAGCACTTCCCTCTGGCTGGTGAAGCCCCTTCAAAACCTAGGTAATGGCACCTCCCTGTCTACAAGCCTCCAGCGGTGGCTGGCGGCACCAGCTGTTTACTTGGGTTCTGGTCGTGAGGCAACCAACCATGACCTCAACCCTGCCCCTGGCTCAGACCACATTTGCAGATTGAGAGGGGCATGGGGGCTGGGCCAGATCCTGTGGTGCCAGTGAGGGGAAGGTATGCCTGGGCCGACTTCTGCCTCCTGGAAAGGATCTTGCCTTGCAGGTAAGCCCAGAAAAGTGGCTGCTGGCAGGCTTTTCCTGTGCCATGATACTCAGGCCAGCACTGGGGAAGGGAAGCAGCAGCTGGGCCAGCTATGCCACATGCAGCCCTGGCCCAACTGGCAGCAGGGAGGAGAAGTGGTGGCTGAGCTGTGTGCTTCTTGGGACCAGCCACGCGGGTCAGCTGAGGTAAGGGGAAGTTATGGCTTCGCCTTGTGCGGGTTGGGCTGGGCTGGCACCGGGGAGGGAAAGCCGCTCCTGGGCTGGTCCCGAGCCAGGGACAGGTCCAGCCAGGTCGGCAACGGCCAGGAAAAGCGGTGTGCAGCTGAAGCCAGCTTCCCCATGTGCTGCTAGGGACAGGACGAGCCCGGCCAGAGCAGCAGGAGCTCAGCTGCACCTTCTCCCTACGTGAGCCATCGGGTCCCAAGCGGCAGGAGGC